CATGACCTGAGCCGAAACCAAGAGTCAGACGCTTCACCGACTGAACCACCCAGGCGCCCCTAAATACTTAATTTTTATATCATATATTTTATTTCAAGTAATTATATCTTGCATTGAGATTCATATTTTATGTAATTATATTTTATATGATTTTATGACACAATTTTATATTAAATAATTCTATGTTAAACTTGTATACTGAATCATTTAAGTATATTCCATTACTGTTGACATTTGTGTTTAATATTACATATGTCATATAAGTTATTTACAACTATATGATACAACGAATAGCTAATATACTGTTAATTATAACATATAGTATTTAAAATATATTCGGGGCGCCTGGGTGGCGCAGTCGGTTAAGCGTCCGACTTCAGCCAGGTCACGATCTCGCGGTCCGTGAGTTCGAGCCCCGCGTCAGGCTCTGGGCTGATGGCTCAGAGCCTGGAGCCTGTTTCTGATTCTGTGTCTCCCTCTCTCTCTGCCCCTCCCCTGTTCATGCTCTGTCTCTCTCTGTCTCAAAAAATAAATAAACGTTGAAAAAAAAATTAAAAAAAAAAAAAAATATATATATATATATTACAAGTATAATCATATAACTAACTGTATCATTGATACAATTAGATATAAATGATAACTCAGTAACAATGTAATAGTTATAATGTATATTTTGTAACTATAATGAAAATTTATGTTAAGCATAATCATAATTCACATGATGTTAAATTCTTATATTAAAATAAACTGTTATATTGAAATTATATTAACATTGGGACACCCGGGCTGGTTCAGTCTAAGGAGCCTGTGACTCAGTCTCAGGGTTGCGAATTCGAGCCCCACGTTGTGTGTAGAGATTCCTTAAAAATAAAATCCGGGGGGCACCTGGGTGCCTCAGTCAGTTAAGCCTCCCACTTCAGCTCAGGTCATGACCTCACGGTTCGTGAGTTCGAGCCCCGCATCGGGCCCCGTGCTGGTCAGTGAGGAGCCTGCTTGGGATTCTCTCCGTCTCCCTCTCTCTCTGGCCCTCTCCTGCTTGTACTCTCTCTCTGTCTCTCTCTCTCTCTCTCAAAATAAACAAACTTTAAAAATAAAGGTAAAATAAAATCTTTAAAAACTTGTATTTATATTGTTTCCTGAGCACCTACTGTGTGCTGGGCAAGGCTGGGGGCAGACAGACCGGGTCCCTCCGGCGTGGGTCCGCAGTCCCCACCAGGATGGTGGCCAGGCTGTCAGAGCGTGCGGGTGGGGGTGACAGAGCCACGGTGGAGGAGGGGTGAGGCCCGCAGGAGCCCAGAGCGGGCACCTGAGCTGACCGCGGGGGGAGGGGCGGGGACCGGCTGGCAGGTGGCAGTTTCCCCAGGTGAGTTTGCAGGGAGCGTCTGGGGGCCTGTCCTGGGGGGTGATGGGAGCCAGGGGAGGCTCTAGAGCGGGGGGTGGTCAGGGGCCAAATCTGGCCCTCCGCGTCTTTCTGCCTTCTTTTGTTTGCTTTGTTCTTTGCTTTGGTTTTGTTGTTATGTCGAGCACGTCCTTCCACGCGGGAACAGTGGGAGAAAAAAGAGAAAGGTGAAAACGACATGGGATTCGAACCTCGGCGTCCACGAATGGAGCCCAGGGGCGCAAGCCACGTGCACGTTCCCCATCCTCGGTGGCTGCCTTCACGCTCCCTGGGCCGGGCCGAGTCGTTGTGACGGAGACCGTGCCTGGAATATTCACCGCCCGGCCCTTTCTGAGAAAGCTTACCCCCAAAGGGGACTCAGGAATTGTTTCGTGAGGCAGGGATTCTACCCGGGATGCCTTCCCCCTTCGGTC